TCCAGAGGATGCTCCGTGTCGCTGAACTTTAAAAATGCTGCCAGGAAACCACAAGTCGCTCCCTCGCACCATGATTTTGTTTCAAAATCCACTTACAGAACTTTCGCAGGGAAATGCCGCAGCCTGAGCAGGCGATCCACGCCTTCTGTCGTCGAATCAGTTGTACTGGTTCGGAGCGACTATGCCAGTCTTGGCCGTGCCGCACGTGTCCATCAGAGTCATTTTAAGCCCATTGAGGTTGATGGATTTCAGCGGGTCGGTTCCTCTGTTGCACAAGAAGATGATAAACAGGAGTAAAATTCCCTCTCTGTGTATGGTCTGTGTTGTCAGCATCGGCGTGCGGGTAGAGTTGGCATCTGGGTCTCTGGCAGGGTTTAGTCCTTCTGTCTGTGTCTCTGTTTTGTGGGCCATTGTGTATATTTGCTTGAGTTTGTGGGGTTTTCTGTAGGCAAGTATGAATCTCCCGCAAAGGGCTTTGGAGAGTGAGGTGTTCTTGTCAAGGATGGGCTATAGACCGTTAAAGATAATTACAGGACCTAACAATGCCACACACAATATCAAAGACAATTTCAGTTGCTCCTCAGCTAATGTGATCCATGACAGTGGTCCCCAACTGTTTTGACACCAGGGACCAGTTTAGTTGAAGACCATTCTCCCAAGGAGGGGAGGGTACTTGTTATGCAGTAGGTTGTTGGCAATGCATTGGGGGGTGGCTTTGCTTTTCCCCTGCCTGTGTCATTCCTCTCAAGCAGGCCATGCCATCCTGTTTGTTGCTTCAGACCAACCGATCAGATAAACATCTAACCTTTTGCCAGCCCTTAGTTGGTATGGAGGAGCAAAGGAAAAAGAGAAGGGGGGAGGCAGAGTAGGAGGTAGGGGCTGCATCGCCCACCAGGTCTTCTCCTGCAAGCGAGCCCTTCTCTCTCATCAGAAGACTCAAAGATAAAAACTGTCAATAAATATTCCCTACATTAAGACCAAGTAGGATTCCTCCCGAAGAGATATTTAAGATCTAATGTGAGGAACCTCATCAACTTTTTGGAATATTATGAAGCACATCCAGTTAAACAGATGGCAATTCTCTTCATTGATGCAGAGAAAACATTCAAATTGGAACTTCATGATATCACAATTAGAAGAAGTGGGGACAGGTCAGCACTTCACTGAAATAGTAAATATGGTCTATTCCAAACAGACAGCAAAGGTAAGAACCAATGGAGAATGTACACACGAAATAGAAATACAGAAAGGGACATGACAAGGCTGCCCATTATCACCTCTACTTTTTTTAAACTGTAATTGAAGTACTAATGCAGCAGATACAAATATCAGATAAAATTAAAGGTCTCAAACTATGAGGAGAAATATTCAAGGTTGAGGCCTTTGGAGATGATTTGCTTATAGTAGTTGAAAACCCCAAGGAATCAATAGAAGCTCTAATGCTGAAATTAAAAGAATTTGGCGAAATGGCAGAGTTAAAAATAAGCCACAAGAAAACAAAAATTATGACTAAAAACATTCAAAACCAGGAGATTGATGAACTATTACAAATTACAAACTTCCAGGAAGGAAGGAAAGTAAAATACTTGGGCATATTTTTTACAAAGAAAACAAGTACTCTCCTGAAAGATAATTATTTGAAACTGATAGAGGAAACTAAGAAAGACCTTTCTAGCTGGACAAATTTACAATTGTCAATGATGGGCAGAATTGCTACAATTAAAATGAATATCCTACCAAAACTCATATTCCTGTTCCAAATAATTCTGATTGTTTTAAAACAAACAATATTTAAGTAGCTTGGAAAATGCATTTCTAAATTCATCTGCAGGTGGTGGGGAACCAGAATTAAAACTTAAGAATCTACAAAACCTAAAAATAAGAGGAGGAATTGGGCTTCTGAATTGGCTTCTGTACTATAGGGCATCTGCATTTGTATGGGTCAAGGAGAGATAACATTGGAAAATACGAGGCTCTTGAAATTGGAAGTATATCTGAAATGGGGCTGGCATGCATTCTTATAGTATAACAAGACTGAGGAGTTTAAACAATTTAACAACCATATATTAATGAAGGCACTTCTGTTGACATGGAATAAAGTGAAAAATGAAATTTATATTAAAATACCACACTGGGTGATGCCAATTGAAGCATTTGCTCTACCATATATGATAGAAAATAAGAAAATAGTAAAATATAGTGAGGTTTTAAATCTGGATGGTTCTATCACAACTAAACAAGAGTTAGATCAAGGCATTGAAATGGATTGGTGGGCACATTCACAGTTATTATCAAGATTTGCTAAACATAATCAATAGGGCTTTTATCTAGAAAACACACCTTTAGACAGAATTCTTCTAGAACCAGAGGGAAAATGTATTAAGTTATTAAATAATTTTCTGTTAGATTTTGAAACACAAGATGAAGTGGTAAAAGCATGTATGATTAAATGGGCACAGAATATAGGACATAATGTTGAACTGGATCAATGGGAACGAATTTGGAAAACAAGCATAAAATTAACTAAATCTGTTTTATTTAAAGAGAATATATACAAAATGTTCTGCAGGTGGTACATGACTCCCACAACATTGGCTAAAATAAGCACCCAGATTTCAAATCTATTGTATGTATGTTGGAAATGTAAAAAAAAAGGAACGAACATTTTATCACATATGGTGGATGTGTTATTGGAATAAAGTGAACCAGATGTTACAAGAGATATTACAAACTTCAATACCGATGGTACCAGAACTGTTTTTATTAAATATCCTGCCAGATATACTAGACTCTGAAAAATCATATTTAGCTATTCATATTATAACAGCTAGAATAGTTTTTCCCCTTCATGGATTGCTGCCTTATCGTGGCGAAGGCGCTTGAGTAATTCAGAGATCGCTTTTGCGATCGCACAATCCGCAGTCAGCTCCAGGTCTTGTTTTTGCTGACTGTATAGAGCTTCTCCATCTTTGGCTGCAGAGAATATAATCAATCTGATTTTGATATTGCCCATCTGGTGATTTCCATGTACAGTGGGGTCTTGACTTGAGAACTTAATCTGTATTGGAAGGCGGTTCTCAAGTCAAAAAGTTCTCAGGTCAAATCTGCATTTCCCATAGGAATGCATTGAAAACCATTTGATCTGGTCCATGGGGTCACGAAGAGTCGGACACGACTAAACGAAACGAAATGAATTTCATTCAACATATCATTTTGTTTCCACATATCTGACAAAGTGGACATGTCCACAAAAGCTCATATTAAAATACAGTAGCTAGTCTTTAAGGTGCCATGTGTTTTTTTCTTTTGTTTTGTTTGGTTTGGCTTCTTTGGATTTTGCCTGATATGCTTCCACAGACTAGCATGGCTACCTCTTCCAAAATGACTAACATAATGTGTTATCTGTACAACATTAGTTACCTGGGCTGTAGTTTAAAGCAGTTGTTCTTAACCTTCAGTTACTCAGGTGTTTTTGAACTGCAACTCCCAGAAACCCCAGCCAGTACAGCTGGTGTTGAAGGCTTCTGGGAGCTGCAGTCCAAAAACACCTGAGTAATCCAAGGTTACGAACCACTGGTTTAAAGTGCAGTACGTCACTGGCACCATATATCCTACACCACAAACTGAAAATGTGTGCAAGCAGAGAAATACAAGCAGGTAAGGGGATCAATAGTTAGTTCTTCCTTGCTCAAGGAAGGAAATGTTTTGTGTGGCTGTGCTTCTGTGTTCCTCCCCTACTCTGGCAACAGGTCTAAAGTGTGCTAAACTTCCCAGCATAAACACTCTGTTCTGGACTTTAAAAATACCTTCTACTTTTCTGTCAACCTTTTCTTGATGAAGCTCAGACTGCTGTCCAGTGATGGTCTCCAGTCCACAAATAGACAAAGTCCTGGCCTGAAATGGAACAATATTAGGTACATTCAGGCATTCAAGATGAAAATGTGGCTAGGCATTGCTAGTGAATGCTTTGGGGCTGACAGCTCCTTGCAGTATGGAACAAAAGGCACTAACAAAAACAGATTTTTAAAGTCTGTTTTGTCATCCCCTCCTTAACGCATGTTTTGTAATGAGAAAAAAGTGTGGAAGAAGAGGCTAGAAGAAGTCATGAAAAAACATGGAAGGCTTACAAAAGAAGACAACATTTTGAACCCCTAACCACAAAATCTATTCAAAATTCTGAGGCAGGGCAATTGCACAATTAAAATCTTTTGCATAAGGATACTGCGTCTCTTCAGTCTCAGTCTGGAATCCTTATCCTGCAACTTCAGAACTCAAGTTATTCTTCAAAACTGTCACTGTGCCTGGTGTGAATATAAACTCTAATCTATGCTTCCTCCTGGTCCTTCACACAAGGTCCATTCACTGGTACTTGAGAAAATCACAACTGTCACATTCCTGCATGAAGTGCTGGAGCTTCCCAAGGCCAGGCTAGGATTCCCTAGCAGAGTCGTGATAATGAATTTTAGTCCAACAACTTCTGGAAGAATGTGCCTTCCCTACCTCTGTTGAGTACAAATGGTTTATGAATAATCTCAAGTATGTCCCTGTTGGGGCTAAAGGTGGGAAGATAAGGTGGTACACATAGCAGGGAGATAAGGCTGGCCATCTGAGACAGACCACCCATTTTCTGAAAGAGACTTTTATACCACACTGGGCAGAACCCTATTGGTGTGTTATGACCTTTGCATAGCAGCTAGTTGCAATATTGCTCTGCAGTGGTATGTCAGGTGGTGGTGGGTCACTGACGAATGCAGAAAGCAGGCTGGTAGCTCCCTCCTCTGGCAAGGTCATAAAGGGGAAGGTGGTTTTCTCCAGTCGCCACTCTGAGGCGCTTTTGAATCTTGTCTGGATTTTCTGATAACTTTGAACTTTGAGAATAAAAAGAAAAGGAAATATAACAACAGCAATTTTCCATTAAGTAGATTGTGACATGATGACAGTGTCCAGAGCTTCTTAGGTATAGAGGACTCAGTAGTGGCTATCTGGTCACAAAAAAAGAGTCATCTAATTACTGAACCACCATTTTGAAGGTGCAGAAGGCTGCTGTTGGGTCCAAATTGGGAATGCCCTTCACCCAGTACCCTGGGGCGAGAGCACTGGACTCCAGCAGCAGCACATGCCCTCAACCAGATGTCCAATGCTGTCAGTGCCAACATTGCTTGTTAAGGGCTTGTTTCTTCTTCTTCCCATTGACAGCAGATGGTCACTGCAAACAATACCAATCATCTGAACAGCAAGCAGGCAGCCTCCCACTCAGCCTGCTTCTGCACTTAAGCACCTGTGGGGCTGGACTAATATTATCAAGCATAGTGTGTCAAGAAATTGGTGAAGTGGTATGGGTCATGCGTCAAGGACAATTCCCTCATGCAACCTCCTGAAGACATCTGGTCCATGGCAAGGCTGTACCTTATGTATTATTTACATCTGCCTTTTCTCCAAGGAGTTCCATGAAGCAAATGTGGGCTCCCTCCCCCTTTTACTGTCAAAACCACCCCACTGCCATCACGTTTTTCATATTCCAGTTACCTCATTGAAAGGGCGATGAGCTAAGCAAGAATATGTGGACACAGGGACTTGTTAGCTGCAAGAAAAAAATAAAGCAGAGTGTAATATTACACCATACAAGAGTAATAGCTCTTCCATTTCTTTTAAGGCATTAGCCTACACACACACCTAGGTTCTTACTCACTGGTGTCAGCAGAAGTTGTCATTTGTGATGTTACTTCTCACATGTCATCCATAGCAAATTCCTAAGAGCAGGGGTCCCCAACCCCTGGTCTTTGGCCCGGTGCCGGTCTGTGGGCTTCCTTTAACTGGGCCGTGGATGTGGATCTCTGCCCCCCCCACATGCACGCATGGGGGGTGTTGTGCTTGTGGAAGGGCATGTCACGCTCATGAGTGGGTGTGTCACACTTGCAGAGGGGAGTGTTGCACTTGTGTGCATGCACACGAGTGCAACACGGCCACCCGCAAGCGCGACATGCCCACCCACTCTCAAAATCTGCCTGACGTCTAATTTCAGCCCAACCTGGAGCAGGAACAGCGGCGGCAGCACCTACTTGGCGAGTGCAGGGCTCCCTCCACGCCTCGTAGGGGCTGGGTCCCACCTGCCCCCCTAAAGCGCCTATGCGTCCAGAAGAGGAGCCCTCTCCCTGCCCAGCAGTCTTCTCCCTCAGTGGTTTGGCGCCACTGGGGATTCTGCTTTTAGGTCTCTCCCCCCCCCGCTCTTCACGGGTCACCCGAGGCTGCTGCTGTTGCCTTGTCCTCTCTGTGGCTGAGGTGAAGGAGGGGCCCCGCGTGCAACCTGGCCACACACTTCTCCTTCCTCCCGCCTGGCGCTCCACCATTCCCTGCCCAGATGTGCTGCGGGAGGGGGTGATGCTGAGAGAACAGCCTTCTCATGCGTGCTCCCTTCCCCGTCTCCTTTCACAGCCTGCCGCGGAGAGTTTGCACCCGTCCATCTCTGTCGCTCGTTCCCTCCCACTCTCTTCCTTTCCTGCTGCTGCTTGTTTGCCGCCGCCGCCAAGGCAGAAGAGCCGCGGCCAGCAACGAACGGGGAACAAACAAAAAGGAAAGGAATCTTGGTATCTAGTACAGTAGAACAGAACAAAGCCTGTTTTATATTTATTTCTTCCATGTAGGCAGAACACAACATATTTCAAAATATATAGTTATTGTCACCCAGTAATTGAACATGTGTAGCACCAAAGACTGAAAGGGAGCAGTTTTGCTTCAGTGTGAGTAGAATTCTGTCTTCAGGCCCTGATGTAGTTTAGTTGTATGTAGGACC